CCGTTCAGAAAACAAAGGCACTTTCCCGCTCGTATTCTTGACAATACAATTAGAAATGAACGCGACTAATTTAATGATTGTCTGAGTAAACTTTGTAACAAAATATATAAAAACACAACTTTCAGTTTTTGACGGAAACAATTATTCAAGAGGGGCATACTGCATTTCCCGCGTAACTGCGAGAGCGCAACTAAGTCAATCAAGTGTTCCAGAAAATACTGAACGTGAAGTGAACTAAAAATGTAAGATCCTCATTTTCTCGATGTATTTTGACTGACTTGAGACCGTAACCCCTGTAGTTGATTTTCTTGCCATTCAAGACAAACAGAAATTCAGCTACAAGTCTATCAGTTGCCATCCTGCTTCAATTTCTGATCGTCTGTATCAGCCCCGATTAAATGTATGCAGTTTTTTTCAGAACGCTTTGGATACCTATTGCTCAACCGCTCAAACCGGAAAGAACTGGAAACTAAGTACAAAGACACTTTCATTACCTAAAAACACGGCATTGTTTTTCTACAATCAGACTAGCGTCATACCTTTCTACCACCTGAACCCAAAAACCATAACACAAACAAAATATTGCACAACTCCGAACAAGACTAATGGAGTCATGAGTTTAGTCCATATCTGTACCTCATACTTCCAGTGATCAAATGCTTCAAAATCACAGACAAATGACGAATTTAACCTTAAATAAACAAAACAACATAACAAAAACAGTGAAAAGACTTACAGCTAGTAGCACGACATTCAAAACTGGTGACAAAGGGTTACTCAATATTACGTTGGGCAGTTTTTAAAAGGATCTTCTGTACTTCATCTTATTCATTTCCCCTGTTTAAGTCCTTAGAATCAGCTAAAATTAAAAGCACCAGTATTGGACACACGTTTGTACAACATATTCTCCTTATTGTGAATTGTTGCTTATTGCATTTTTTCACTCGCCCCAACTTTACAGGCTGTAAAACCTCTAGCAAATAAAAAAAAGTAACAGCCGGAGCAGATTAACACCAACTGAAGTGCTAGCAAAAATCAAATCCTTTTGAAGGAACTGAAGACTTTTTTTAATTAAATGACAACCAGTTGTTTATTTTTAAACCTTTAACCTGTATTGACAGCACAAAAAACTCAGGTTTGAACAGAAAGCCTAACATCAAAAGAAAAGTTAACTTTTTTTAAAACATTTCTTGAGTTATTTGAGAAAAACAGCAAATCAAAATACTAAAATCATTGTAAAACGGCAGACCCCTCGCCAATTTTTGTCAGCAACCAGTTAAACACAAAAAACCGATTTGCCGCCAAAAACCCTTATTTTCGAGTCCTTCTCAGTGTTCTCGAGAATCTCCGAAATAATGAGCAAGAAACATGAGCAGCCATAGCCGGAGGCCATTGTACCACCATTGAAACGTTACCTCGCAAGAGCTCTGGGCCAGTATGTAAATTACACCTCCTTAGGCGCATTTTTAAACCTTAACAGGAATGCACCTCCTCTTCCCCCTCGTTTGAGCATAATTTCAAATTTGTTATAGATGTGACTAACACGACACAACAACTACCCATGACTTCCGTGCTCAAACACTCCTCTCGAATTTGAGACACAAATGAAGATATTTAGATTACAGAAACTTTAACGATTATCTGATGCAAAAGGTTTAAGATAGAATGCTTTTCGAGACTATTCAACTACTACGCCAGCATAGTCTTCTTGCGCTGAATCCCAGCTATATTCGTCAAGGACGTTTGACTCATCTATCCACATGATCTAAGAGGAGACAGCAAAGACTGAAACAAGTGGTAAAGAAAACTTACGACTTTAGAGCAAAACAAAAAGCTAATAATGCCTAGCTTAAAAAATATCAGATAAAGGTATCGTAAAAACGATTTACGGAAAGAGGAGAATCAAATATTTATCGCGCAGTCAACAGTAAGAGCGACCCAAAATTTCTTGCAAATTTTTGAGGCCTCCCATCCCAAAATTTCATACTAAAATATATTGCAATTGAACCTCAATTTCTAGCACAGTTCAAGTTGCGACCTAGGATCTGTCACCGCAATACTTTTACATTAAAGGGTGAACATTAGAAGACTTACTAATATTGTATACGATACCAGTCGAAGAACCAACTTTCATTTAAACAGTGGATGCGAATTAAATCGTAGCAATACAGAAGATACGAGTGTAATTGAACACAAAAAAACCCATAAAATTACCTAGCATAGTAAATTAGTAAAAATAAATTTGAATTATCTAATAATAAAAAAATTAAGAACAGATCATGTCGTTTCTGTACCCGTTTGAATTTGAATTATAAAGCATGACTGTTCAACTTCAAATCACTTCGAAATTTCTTCATTACTTTCAAAAGCTTCCACGATATCTAAGAGCTTTGCATCATCACTTATGTCGCAAAACGAGTCAAATGCCTTCTGGACGCCAGTCTTCTCTAGTAAAGCACTCCGCCTGCGAATTCTTGACAATTCTTCTGAGAGTTCTTCAACGTTCTCTTGCATTCTGCACTTTCCAACGACCGAGACTATAAGATCAGTATTTTCTTTGTTAAGTTCAGCTGCGTCACCAACCACGGATTCATCTACCTCTAGAACCAAATGAAATTTAGGAAGAGGGACGAAGCAGCGATTATCAAGACAAAAAACACGGAGAAGGTTACTTCCGTGCCTCATAATGGTTGTCAAGAGGCGTAAGACAAAAGCTGTAATGATTTAGGAAAAGATAACTAAAAGTATGTTTTTAAAAGATTGAATAACCATAAAGCAAACCAGCTGATGTAGGAATAGAAGCTATAACAAAACGTGGAAGAGGGAAATGATTTGATGAGGTCCCCTTGCAATCCACGTCAAAACACTTCTGGTAGCACACGCATCCATCCAAGTCAACCACCCAGTAAACACCATTACTTCGATGCTCCCTCTCAATATTAAAACAAAATCGGCAACCAGAAAGCTGAAAATGAACAATACAATTTCATTA